TAGGACACACATTGAGGAAAGCACCCAACTGCGTCACAGGACAAGCCCTCTGTTGGAATCTACAAGGCCAAAGGAAAAGAGGAAGACCAAAGAACACATTACGCCGAGAAATAGAGATAAACATGAGAAAAACGAACAAGAATTGGATGGAACTAGAAACGAAGACCCGGGACAGAGTGGGTTGGAGAATGCTGGTCGGTGGCTTATGCTCCACTAGGAGTAACAGGCGTCAGTAAGTAAGTAAGATATTTGTCATTTACTTATAGTTTTATTTTAGAAATATTTAAATAGAAAATTTTAAATAATTTCAAGTAGAAATTTACTGACTAGATAACATTTAAAAGTGATCATTATGTGATTTTTAAGAAGCTGATTAGATTCAATGTGTTACTAAGATGTATTAGATAAGATCAGTTCTAATGTGACACAAAATGTATTGAATTTCATAGATCATTCATTTAAACAATATAATGTTAACAGTAAAACTATTTTTTAAAAAATTTATCCAGAACTTATGTTTGTTTGTTTTTTAAGTCAAGTTCATCATTCATTTAAATTGGTCTCAACCTATCTGATTACTGATTGTTTATCAAGTGTCATCACAAATGTTTTTGCAAACTAGTCAGTATTTATTTATTAGAATGTTCTGTTTCATCAATTTCAAATGAATAAAGATTAGTTGTTGGTAAAGAATATGCATAAATTGGTTTCTCTGTAAAACCATTAAAAGCCAATTGAATTACTAGAAGTGAATAAGTTTATATGGTGTGATATTTTATCAGGATATTGTGATTACATCTCAATTTTTCGTTGGTTACCATGTTTTTATAACCTCTCAGATTTTATTAAGACGCTCTGTAATTTCGTGTAAAATACATTCGATTGTCCTCAATCGTGTTCTTGTTCACTACAAATCAATTGAAGAGACTATTTATGAAAATGCAGAAAACTTAAGACTACTTTATATTACATAATGTGTGTTTTAAAGACCATCTGACAAGGGGTTTATTTCATCTATTTCGTTCCGATGATTGAGTAAAGAATAAAGTCAAGCTATCAGGTAGTTTCTGATCCCGTTAGGTTTCAGTTTGACTGCAACAAACTAGAAGGCTTTAAAATTCTAAAGTGCAGTACTAAAACTAGATATTCAAAACTACGTTTAGTAAATACTGGGCTCGAGAATTCAAAAAGATAAGTCATACAAGATTCAGTTTTACGGAACCAATATTACAAAATAGTGATGTTTCCTTTAAATAAATAGTTGAAAATTTCGTCAGATAAAGTATAGGTAAGTGGAGTAATAATTGTAGACCTATTTCTATGTAAGCCCGTCTTACCTCAAAATTTTAAACGTGATATTATATATGTAGTTCTGCAACTCTTAACATAGATATTTGTTCTGGATAAGGTGTAAACGATTTTCGGAGCTGTAATAGAATATCAGCCCCACCATTTTTTGAAATAAATTCATGCGATTCTGAATACCTTATGACGTCTTTGAGACTTTAAGGGATGTTATGGCTTTACTAATTCAGTGATAAGTGACGGAAATTGTGTGCAGTTATTAATCATGTGTGTGTGACTTCTGATCCAATGTTATCTAAAAGTTTAATAGTAATCACAAAAATACCATTGAAAAGGTTAGCATTAGGTTAATTGTCGCATATATTAAAATGAGCCTTCATGTAAGATCCAGAAGATGTATGAAATTTCAGGTTATCTTAGGCGTTTCTTTGATTGAAGAATTCAGTTTCGTGCTGTGGGGCGACAGTTAGGTGCTAAGGCCACCTCAATAACGGCTTTTAACGCACAAGTTTCTTTGATTAGGCTGAAAATTTTAATTGTTAGTCCAAATGCAGAGAAATCATTTGATTGATAATGAAATATCTCCAAGCGTCCAAGTTTATCACAATACTGAACTGATATGAATAGAGTGTTAGATTCGACATTTCTGCATGCTTTCGCAGGTTCAGCGGAATCATGAAGTCAAGAATAACTGATTTTATAAAATAAACATTGTTACGAAAAAATTCTGGTACTTTTATGACTAAGAACACAACTATGTTACTTGCTTCTGAATAACGGAACAAGAATTTATATCGTTTGAGGCAAAGAAAGTAAGACTAAAGTTAAAGTTTTGTCAATACACCAACCACAAATTCACAACTGATCAAAAACATATGAAAAATTACAGTTTGATGTGTCATTTTGAATCTCCGGTCAGAAGATAAATTTGAAATTATCGGACTGGCAGAAAGTGATATTTATTAACTAATATTATGATTTATGTAAACAGTTAATAATATTAATATTGATAGTACATTGGCTATTCTGAGATATATAGCCAATCATCGAAGTGTATGACATCAGGTATCTTATAACTAAATTAGTTATCGAGAATCCATAATATCAAGTCAGTTTCTAACAGTTTAGGAAAAATAACTGAAAATATTTCATTTTGAAGTCGTTTTGCTCTCTGAGCTGGGTGGCTTAACTGTGAAGCTTTGATTACGTTCCTTCATGACTTCATCAGCAAAGAATTTGTTAACGAATTATTAAAATGCCTCCACAATTGATTAGCTGCTTATTCTGTTGACCAAGAATTTAGTTGATTGTTATCCATAGGTGTATGGCCATTGTTTTCATGTTAGTTTTTACCTCTGGCAGAAACAAAATGCCCTCGAAATCCTCACCCTGAATCACAGCTATTTTCTATTATTTCGACACTATTTCAGTTTCCATAGACGGTGAGTAAGTTGAGGTATTGTTTAGTATTAAATTTTTTTATCATGTTCATAATAACAATATAAGTCATCTAACATATTCTGACTCATGTATTCCGTTCTTAGCTTCGACTTTTGATTATGAAAGCTGGATACACTACCTGAGCTTTTGGCACTTTTGATTCCATTTTCATTAGTCAAATCAGAAATATAGATGGTATAAGTGATAGAGACCCCAGAAAGTATTCCGCTGGAAATAATGGTTGAATATTCATTCAAAAGTTTAGGAACTAGACAAACGATGTCTATTCTACAACATGTTAATCATAATCTTCGTCTAACCATAATGTGACTTTACATGAAGAAACTATTTATTTCTCTTTGTACTGAGCATAGTTTGGATTTTCAACATAGTAATTATCAAGAATTTTTTACAATGAAGACATCTTGTTATTATTACTCGTTCATTAGAATCATTACCTCATTTATGAATATAAATTCACTGTTAACTATAAAACATAAACGCATAAACAATGTTATAAACAAAAGTGTATGCAATATTCATTTCAAAATGACCCACAATAATTTCAAATGACTTGAACAGTATTTCTTATAAATATTTTATACTCAAGATTCATATTTAAATTCAATGTTTTGATTGGTCTAAAATAAACAAAGTGGAAACACAGTATTAATGTTCTAACTGTATACTGCACCTGAAACAGAAAGTGCAATGAGCTAATTGTTAGAGAAGTTAGTATTTCTATTTACTACTTCTTCATTATTGACTTATAAAACAATCTACTTTTTATAACTAGCTCACCCTTGTCGTTTTGTTATGATTCAGTTCAAACACTCCATTATTATGTTAGATTTCACGTATTTTTAAAACTGATATAATAGATTTCATGGAGGCCACTTTTGAAAACCTGGAATTACTAGACCGCTGTTCCGTCTTAATATGGGACTCCTCGACAACGCTTGTTCATAACCCTACCACAGGGAGTCGAACCCACGACCTTCAGTCTCGTCAATGAAAGCTAACGAAATTGATCATTGGTCCGGCATTCAGTAGTGTTAGTATCTAACTTTAATCAATTCGCTATATTGTACAATCCTCATCCAATACCTGTTGTGGATTGTTTCACGGCGAATAGGGTTGAATTTAACTCGTAAAGGCTTCTTACTAGAATCCCATGTGTTGCATTTTATAGCTAATAACTTGGTAGCATATGGTTTAAACTATGATGTTTCTACAATATCTATAAATCCCTCTGCACTTGAATGATGGTAGATAGTACACATTCATAATTCACCATCTAACACTTTTTCAAACTAAAACTCATTGAATAATACTTTCGAATTTGTGTTTATCGTTTGCTGCGAAGTCTATACATCTATTTTACGAATATATACCACGTGTTTTAGATCTTACAAACTGATTTAACTGAATATGCAGTTGACGGTTTATGGATACATTTCTTTGCAAGCAAATTGTAACATCATGATAAATTTATTACTTAGTTGTTATCTGAAGATCATTTATACATCAAAGAGACACATTTAGTTTCACTCACAATTGCTTGGACTGAATACATCAAATAACATATTTCATTATAGTAGTTATCTTTCTGTGTTATCTGTACTATACACTTCTCAATCACTTATCAATATAAATAAATTTCAAAAATTAACGATGGAAACTATCAAGACTTTTATTACGCTCAAATAACTATATCCTTTAGAACACACAATTCAATTATCCATACTGACGAAGTTCTTACTGCTAAAAACTATATTTGTCTATTTTCTTTGCAGAGTGTCGAACAGACATAATATCTTGGACATATTACTTTAGCGATAAGATCCATATAAGTATTAACAGTAAATTTAAAATGTCTCTATGTGGAGATATAGGACAAATGAATAATTAATTTAACGACTGCAAGACAGTGAATTTACAACTTGGTAGATTAATTGAGTAATAGTCGAAAACTAGACACATTGATAAACGTGAATAGCAACACCGTTTAACAAGAGAAAAGTAGTTTTTTATATTAACAAGTTGAATTAATTTACACACATAGTATTATTATTATCATCATTTTTAATTTGTTTACTAGATGTAGCATAAACTTGTATTGAAATGTTCATCAAATGTATCACTTATATACACATTTCACAACCGCACTAATTCAACGTGTCACCATTACTGCTACAACTCGCACTACTACTACTAATAATAATAATGTAAATAATAATGATAAAAATATCACGGCTACAACTAATAATATTATTTATTATCAAGATACACTTCTTACTATTATGCACACAAAGACATGAAATGAATCAAGTAGTTTCTGTTGTGTTTTTTTTGTTTCTTTATAAAAGGGGGAGATAAATATATTAACATTGATAATTTGTAAATGAGAAAAAGAATAATGATTATGAAAGGTGAAATAAATTGTTTAAAATAATAATAATAAATTTATAAATCTTGTTAACATCGTTTATTACATAATTATTGTTAGTAGTATGATGGTTTTCAAATGAAAATATTAACATTTGGTATAATGTATGAATGCTTATATGTATGCTGAATAAGCATACAAAGTATAGAATGATAACATGGTGAAATGATATAGAAAGATGAGTATTTCAGAACAACAGTATAAAATGAAATATAAACATAGAATGGAATAGGTATGCATGGAATGAACAATAGATTATCTATTATATTCAAAACAAAAACACATTATCACAGTTTTTTTATCAGTGTTTAGTTATACCTCCATACAATAAAACGACTATTTATTTAAGAATAAAAAAGTGACAAAACACTTCAGTTTAGTTAGTTCAAGGTATAAGTTTTACTTATTAAACAAATTTAGTTGTGAAGATAGAAGGGAACGAATGAGAATTACTTCGTTAATTAATAGTTTCATTGATGCCAATGATTTTTTCATTCATAAATTAGTTTAAATTCTGGTGGTGGTCTTGGATAATTTAATTTAGATGTTGATGGACATTGTTGTTGTGTATCTTGTCGAATATCGTTTGCTTTGTTCATTTCTGGTGTTTCGTGAAACAAAACATTTGAATTTTTAGTATCCGATGACTTATCCTCATCGTGATTGTTGTAATACATGTTTGCATTTGTCAATGCTTGCAGTAAAGGAGTATAGTATTTTCTATTTGATGTAAAAGATTGACTATCACGTTCAAATGAGTCAGTTCTACCAGAAGATAAAGAACAGGAGAATGAATAATTTTGAATGACTTCATCGACTAATATATCCATTCTTTCAGCTGTCCGGGTAACTTTTTAATACGAAAGATGAAAACAGAAAATAATAACATAATTATATAAAATCAAAATCTTATTCAGAAAGTCATGTTGATTTCCTAAAGTTACAGTTTAAAGAACTGTTGTCAAATTATTTCGGTTAAAAGATACCCTTAATCTGGTCATATTTTAAATGTTGAAATTCAGGTTGTTTTCTAAACGCAACTAAACACTAATGATGATTTGCTATTAGGCTACTAGACAGTATATCAACAATGACATATCACAGTAAACTATCCAGTTAATAGTTTTTACTTACTTACTTACTTTACTTACGCCTGTTACTCCTAATGGAGCATAGGCCACCGGCCAGCATTCTCCAACCCACTCTGTCTCGGGTCTTCGTTTCTAGTTCCATCCAATTCTTGTTCATTTTTCTCATGTCTATCTCCATTTCTCGGCGTAATGTGTTCTTTGGTCTTCCTCTTTTCCTCCTTTGGCCTTGAGGATTCCATGTGAGAGCTTGTCTTGTGACGCAATTGGGTGCTTTCCTCAATGTGTGTCCTATCCACTTCCAGCGCTTCTTCCTGATTTCTTCCTCCTCTGGGATCTGGTTTGTTCTCTCCCACAGTGCGTTGTTGCTAATATTGCCCGGCCAACGGATCTGAAGTATTTTGCGTAGACAATTGTTAATAAACACCTGTATTTTCTGGATGATGGCTTTCGTAGTTCTCCAGGTTTCCGCCTCATACAGTAGAACTGTCTTGACATTTGTATTGAAAATCCTGACCTTGGTGTTGGTTGACAGTTGCTTTGAGTTCCAGATGTTCCTCAGTTGTAAATATGCTGCTCTTGCTTTGCCGATCCGCGCCTTCACATCTGCATTAGATCCACCGTGTTTGTCAATGATGCTGCCCAGATATGTAAAGGATTTTATATCCTCCAAATTTTCTCCGTCACATGTAATTGGATTGGTGCATTCTGTGTTGTATCGGAGAATCCTGCTTTTCCCTTTGTGTATATTGAGAACTACTGCTGCTGAGGCTACTGCTACACTGGTCGTCTTCTCCTGCATCTGTTGTTGCGTTTGGGATAGAAGGGCCAGATCGTCTGCGAAGTCTAGATCATCCAACTGCATCTTAGATGTCCATTGTATCCCGCGCTTCCCTTCAGATGTTGACGTCTTCATGATCCAGTCGATCACCAGGAGAAAGAGAAAGGATGAGAGTAAGCAACCTTGCCTAACACCGGTCTTCACTTCGAACGACTTTGTCAACTGTCCTCCATGCACAATTTTGCAGTGTAATCCATCATATGAGTTCTGTATGATATTGACTATCTTCTGAGGCACGCCGTAGTGTCGAAGAAGTTTCCATAGTGTTGTTCTGTCCACGCTATCAAATGCCTTTTCGTAGTCAATGAAGTTGATGTAGAGTGATGAATTCCATTCAATTGATTGTTCCACAATGATCCGTAGAGTTGCGATTTGGTCTGTACACGATCGATCCTTACGGAATCCACCCTGTTGGTCACGAAGTTGGGCGTCTACGCAGTCCTTCATCCTGTTTAACAATACCCTGTTGAAGACATTTCCCGATATTGAGAGAAGAGTGATGCCCCTGTAGTTATCACACTTGCTGAGATCGCCTTTCTTCGGTATTTTGATCAGAAGTCCTTCTTTCCAGTCTTTTGGTACTTGTTCTTCATCCCAAACCTTATTGAAGAGGATGTGGAGTATCCTTGCAGTTGCCGCTACGTCTGCTTTTAGTGCCTCTGTTGGGATGTTGTCCGGTCCGGCTGCTTTGCCACTCCTGATTTGTCTGATGGCCATGCTGATTTCTTCAATTGTTGGTGGGCCAACATCTATTGGGAGGTCCGTGGGTGCTGCTTCGATGTTGGGTGGGTTCAGTGGAGCTGGTCGATTCAAGAGTTCTTTGAAGTGTTCTACCCACCTGTTTTGTTGCTCTTCAATGTTGGTGATTACCTCGCCTTCCTTGCTTTTCACTGGTCGTTCTGATTTGAGGCGATTTCCAGAGAGTTTCTTTGTCGTGTCATACAATTGTCTCATGTTTCCTTCTCTTGCAGCCTTTTCCGCCGTCGTTGCTAAATCTTACACATATTTACGTTTGTCGGTTCTGATGCTCCTCTTCACTTGTTTGTTTACTTCTGTGTATTCAGCTTGTGCCTTGGCTTTTTCTGCTCTTGTTCGACTGGTATTGATTGCTGCCTTCTTGTTCCTCATTTCTTGAATCTTATCAAGTGTATCAACAGTGATCCATTCCTTGTGATGGTGCTTCTTGTGACCCAGAACTTCATGACATGTTGAAGTGATTACCCCCTTGATCCCTTTCCATTTGTTCTCCATGGCAGTTTCCTCTCCATTGAGTAGATCATGAAAGGCCTGGAACTTATTGCTGAGGACTATCTTGAATTTGTTGAGTTTGTTAGTATCCTGAAGAAAGGCCGTATTGAACTTTTGTGATATTGTCCGCCCCATTGTCCAGTGCTTCTTGAGTTTCAATTTCTTCTTGGCGACCAGCAAGTGATGATCTGATGCTATATCAGCTCCTCTCTTGGTTCTCACGTCCTCTATAGTCCTCCTGAACGTTGTGTTGATGCAAATATGGTCGATTTGGTTTTGTGTAGAGTGATCCGGTGAAGTCCATGTGGTTTTGTGTATGCGTTTATGTGGGAATATGGTGCCGCCAATGACAAGCTTATTGAAGGCACATAGATTTGCAAACCTCTCACCGTTTTTGTTTCTTTCTCCATGTCCGTGTCGTCTCATGATGTCTTCATATCCAGTGTTGTCCGTTCCAACATTGGGATTGAAATCTCCCACCATAATGGCCAGGTCCTTTGTTGGTCACTTCTCGATGATTGACTGCAGCCTATCGTAGAATTGATCTTTAGCGTCTTCATTGTAGTCGTTGGTAGGCGCATAGCATTGGATGATGTTCATTGAAATGCCCTCTTTCTTTGTTTTAAACTAGGCTTTGATGATCCTTGGTCCATGAGATTCCCATCCTATAAGCTCATTTTGTGCTTCTTTGGACAGCATCAATGCAACTCCTTGTGTATGTGGCGCATTTTCTTCTTCATGGCCGGAGTATAACAGGAGCTCTCCTGAAGTTAGTCGTTGTTGTCCAACTTGTGTCCAGTGTGTTTCACTGACCCCAAGCACCTCTAGGTTGTATCTTCTCATTTCTGCAGCAATTTGGAAGGCTCTCCCGGTGTCCCACATTGTACGAACATTCCATGTACCTAAATAAATTGTCGCTCTGGTTGTCAGAAGGGGTATCGGCCTCGTAACTTCTGAAGGAATTCGGCTCTCATCATGAGGCGTCATAGTTCTTCTAAATGAAGACCTTCTGACTCCCGGGGCAGAGTTTAAAAGGTTTGAATAATTTTTTCTGGTTAGCGTTTTTTTAGAGAGTTAGTTTTCTACGGGATGGAGACGCTAACTCCATGCCCAACCCTCCTCCTTTATCCGGGCTTGGGACCGGCAGTAGCCTCCAGAGGGACTCCAGGCGGAGTTTTTAGATGGATCTATCCACTCTACTACGTGTCTATGTACATCAAATAAAACATTTGCAAAGTAGCAGGGAAATCAAAAAAGCCAGTGACTGTTATATCCATTATCTTCATTTAAAAATATAATCATAATGTAATCACACATTGCGAAAGGTTTCATATAGCAGCAATGAAATTAAGTTATTTCAACAAAAATAGTCATATATGCTGTATTTTGTAGCAGGTCATTAGTGAACGAAATAGTCATTAACCTAAAAAAATGAACGAAATTCAGTTTCGTCCAACACTTTTTTTTCGCTTTACATTTTCTTCTAAAAAGATCGTTCTCCTCGGTTTTAGTGAATGTTTAAAAACATGCGTTAGTGTAAGTTATTTATAAATCGATAGTATGATGCTCTTATACAAATATCTTTCAGTTAAAATACAGATGATTACTGCTTTTTCACATTTTTATACCGTCTCTAAACTTTATATCTCTATATTCACAATCTTTAACAACAACTGATTAAACCAAGTTAAACAAACTTTTAAAACATTAGTTAATTCGAATAGAAATTTTAAAACAGAACATTTTATGAAATGATTTTTAAAAAACAGATAAGTTCATTTTTCTTAACAGCAATACTGAACGTACCATGTGTTGTTTCATAGAATACTAAAGCTTGTTTAAACACTGATCCCGAAATATTTGGAAAAAGTTTTACGGTAGATTGTGTCAATGCTATCGATCCAGCGTGACTTGATGATGTTGATGATAAGTCTACCTTATTCAATTGATTTTCAGACATATAAAAGTGTTGCTGATTCGCTAATTCATAACGTAAATTTTCTGATGGTAAATTATTTTTTAGAGCTTTTGTAATCAATTCTTTTATTTTTACTATAACTGAAGCCAATTCATCTGAGAAACAAACAGAATAAAACACATTTTTGATATCAGTATTGGTTCAATATTGAGTCCGGTAAAATGTTTGCGATGTCAGACAAAATATTTATTACTTTGATTGTAAATGGCAATAAAGGATTAAGATTAAAGTATAGATTTTAAGCTGCTATATAGTTCGTAAAAAATCTATTCATTACAATTTTGTTTGGGAGTCTGATAAATAAACATCTAACTTTTTGACCTAAATTATTAATTTTTGACTGCCATATTTCACATCATAATTTTTGTAAAAGAAAACACATAGAATTAATACTGACCCTCCAACTGTTGAATATTTTCACTTCTATACCATTATTTTATGTCTATATACTGAGTTTTTGCCGTCTAAATTTGAGTCATATATTGTATTTGTTATCTAGTGCCGCTGCAAATTAAGCATTTTAAAGACAGTAGGCCCTATCTTGACATTCACGTGTCTTTTAATAGTTCAATTCATGTGTCGATTTAAGCTGGACCACTGTTGAAAACTTGGAAGTATTAGGCGGCCATTTCGTCCTAGTATGCGACTCCTCAACAGTGAGCATCCACAACCTTGCATGCGGGACTAAAACCCAGGACCTCCAGTCTCTCGCGCAGACGCTTAGCCTCCAGACCACTGAACCGGCATTCAACGGTGTCAATGTCTAACTTAAGTCGATCCATATATCTGATTTTAAAGAAATCGATAATAAGTAATCTAGGTAAGCATCGTTTGACACCTACGGTGTTAGGAGTACTCAGATATTTATTTATTTAGTAGACAATTATAATTGTTTAATTTTCACGATTGTAGCGTTTACATTAAAGGAGAACAGCTAGCTAATTAAATCAGTAGGATTGTTTTTCAGGAACGAATACAAATTTAAGTTTGGCATCAAATTGCCAATATGTTTACTTCTCACGGAAATGTAACAGAAACAGTCATGGCTAGCATTTTCGTACAACAAAAATAGCCCTTTTAAATTGCTCATTCTATCTCTAATAAAAAATGTAAACAGATGATTAATTTTTAGTAAACGCTTTTATCAAAATATACTTACAAATTAAATATTACTCTATTTAAATATCAGACAACAAATATAAATACATTCTTGCCAATTTTTCAAATCTCACTTCAAGGGGTAGCCCTGTATATAACGAAAATATTTAGAATTCCCACTTTTCAGTATCAGTTTCATTTATCAGTTTATTGGATAGTCATCTGTTATCATTACGACAGCCAAATTTGTAGATAAAGCGTTATAATGTTTAAGATTATTGAAACAACAATTCGCTCATTAAATAAATGATTGAACCAGAACGATTGGTCAACTGATGGATAATGAAAATCGATATTCAGGTATCAGAACTATAACTTACGTACATAACACTTTACTAAAATGTTATAAAGAGGCTATTCATCAGATAACAGACAATTATTCAAGTATAAAAATGAAGGTTATCGAGTAGCCGTCAATCTTTCACATGTACATAAAATAATGCAATTGTTGCCAGTTACATAATACAAAACACAAGTATTTTCATTATTCGTCAAAGTTTTAATTATATATATATATTAGAAATGGATAATTATTCAGTACCAACAAACTACAATACGTTTGCTATTTCACTAATAAAAACCACTAATTGAAAACATTTTTGTAGACCTTCCCACATACTTTAATATTTAGTTTACAACTGATATTCTGTGATTTTACATAGCCTATATAATGACTAAATTTCCAGGTAGCTGAAAAATGGACTAATTGATGTTCACAGTAATATAAGTTTTGTTAGCAAATAAAACTGCTTCATTTTAAGCCTTGTGTTTACTTAGCGGGATATTTAAGTTATGGCGCCTTCATATCTTTAAATAATAATATGATGAGTAAATAGTATTCACAAATAAGGTCCGAGTAGTTACGATACGTTGATATCAAGTGACAATAATTCAATGAACCAAGCGAGCAATAAACAGAAAAAACCTAATAGCTATGTTATTGATTGGAAAAAACTTACAGTTATACAGAATTATCAATAAAATACGACAAAAATTCCCATAATAGTTCTATTAAAATAACATACAAAAGTGATCACTATTATTTTCGATCGGATCTTCGTCAGAAATTACTCTGATATATAATTATATTTATACTCATGCATGAAAAGCATTAAACCAATCAAGGCAACGTATTAGTCGCTGACAACAATAAAATAGACTGCATAGCTAGACATAACAAGAGCAAACCACAAACTGATATTAAAATGTGCTGTTATTTGTATAACTATTAGCAATACTTGTTCGACTGTCATCTAAATGAGACGGAATATGTGAAACTCAAGCATATTTGGGAGATTTGACTGATACGCAGTAAGATTATGTTTTTTATTCAACGATTGAGACCTCGAAATATTTTGCTGAATAATTATACTACTTGTCATAATTAAGTAGTAAAATGTGGAATTTAGAAATATATCACTAGTCTGCTTGTCCATGGTCGTATGAAAACAAAACACTGTTATCAGGATTTAAAAATGTAGGAGCTGGACAGTCATCCAGATTCGTAAACGTATTCTTCAGAGAAAAGAATGAAGTATTTTCATTTTTAACTCGTTTAAAGTTGTGAACTAAACCTGATATATTCTGTCAAGAAAGCCACGAATTATGACAGGTGATCACTATATAATATATCTAAATTATTCATAATCGTCTAGTCCGTTCGTAGAAAAAAAAATAGTACGGATAGGATTTTACATTGTAAACGCTTAGCATCACCTCTCACTGTAACGCTTATATTTTAAAAGTATAAATTGAGCTCCTTTAAATTTGTATTAAAATATTCGCACTTCTTCAAAAATTTAGATTATGATCTTCTTATGGCTTTTTGACTTAGGACTTAATTAATAATACTAGATCAGATCTTGTTCCATATGACTAAATATACGTTTGCAACTGAATTATCCCTGAAACCGAGGATAATACTCTAAATTCGATTATTTACATACACACATAATAAAATGTAATCATTTTTGGCCAAAGTTTCTTTGATGTCACTAAGCAATATTTCTGAAATGATAAATATCCAGCTTTCGATGCAATCCACGTTGAAAACTCATTAAACAGTAGTTAAACTCCACCTGAATACTCCAGTGGTAATACAATTGAATATCTTAGCAATGTGTATTTTCATCTACTGAAATATTCTCTCAGTACGATCAGCATCTGCTTTACTGTTTACCAATATTATGTTGGTATTAGATCCCTTGAAACTGAGATTCCCCTATAGCGAATGATTTAAAACGTTCATGACTATGAGTACTATAAAACGTCTGGTTAACAATAAAATTCTAGTCACCACATTTGTTTTAATTACGGTATTCATAGCAGTTCTTCACGATTTTGGTGATAGTTGATTATGTCTTTATTTATTCATTTGCAGCTTAGATACAACATGGTTTAGTCATGTGAGGTATTCAGGCTTGTTTGATAAAAACGATATTTAATAATAGCCAGGTTTTCAGTTTAAAAGAACAAACTATTGTTTTATGAATATCTCATGTCATCGAAAGTGAATTAAATTATAGTGAGTTGAAATATCTTGTTTGAATGATATGAACCCATAGATTTACCACTGAGTTGAATAAGTCGGGATGAATGTATAACTGTTTTCATTTTTGCTTTTCGATAAAGATCGTACAACAGTCTAGTTATAAGTGTGTAACAATTAAAATGTTATATTCTCAGTACAGAACTCATTCTCTTGCTTAAACAAGTTAAAACCATGAACTAACTATCATAAATGTAAGGCATCATATTACGTGTCTTGAAAAACCAAGTCAATATTATAATATCAAAAAATATCATGATATAAAAAATTCATCGAACAATAATTATAGTTAGCAAGCCTGTACTTTAAATTCAGAATTTCATTAGCTTAGTTTGCTCAGATGGTAATTCAATAAACATATACCTATATACAAACAGTGAAAACGCCAAAATTTTAAACTAAACAAAGGTTTTAATTTCACTTCACTAAAAATACAATGAAGAAACAGCAGCACAACACAAAACATCCTCCTTGGTTTTGAAAATATACAACAGATATATATATATATATATATATATAATCAATAAATACGATAGCCAGTATTGGACTCAAGATTTGTGTTCAAGAGAAAAAAACCTAGATTGTCCAATATTAGTAACAAATGTATATGTATTACAGATATTTGGTTGGCTCATGTTGTCTTATAAATATCTAATTCAAAAATACAAGTGTTTCCATTTTAGCACTATCAATGTTGTTCCAATTATTGTTTTGATTTGTTGTTTATGTTTAATTTCAATATAAAATTGAAATAAACAAGTGGTTATTTTGATTATTCGACCGTTTATTTATTCATTTAATCATTATATTATTTTCAAGGAGTATTTTAAGCGTTAGTATATATTGCAAAATTGTTTTAGTTACCTTATTGATATCACTTTGTCCACATATATTTGCTTTATATTCATTCTTGTGTAAACTTGTGTGGTTTGCTGGTGACATACAAGTTAACTCATTAACTATCTAAACATTTTTTGATTAACCTTATTATACAATACGCCTAATTTAAAAAAGATTAATATATGTATCAATTATCGTAAAGTATGAAGAACATTGTGTTGCTATTGCTTCTACTGCTTCAATTGTTGCGATTTTATCCAGACGCTTTTTTAAATAAACCTAGATGGTGGTATAACTAACATTATTTAGTGATTTACGAGTTGTGAAAATTGTATGATCAGCGCAAAATCTTGTAGCAATAATAATCATTACCTCACAAGTACGTTAAAGATGCACCTCCTACAGTTCTAGTGAGAAGCCGTTATGTATGGAATTCAACCTCAGGTAATGTATAAGGATTGCATAATACTGCAAAATGATTGAAGTTGGGTATTAAGACTACTAAATATCGGTTCAATAATCGGTTCGGTTAGCGCTCAGTGACGAGGCCGAAGGTTATGGGTTCGATTCCTTAAGGTGGGGTCTTTTCGAGTATTGATTAGGGGCCTCATATTAGGACGAAACAGCTGTCTAGTACTTTCGAATTTCCAACACTGGTCTAGGCAATATCATTTCGGGATTTAAAAACTAAGAAAATTCGATAATATCCACTATTGTGGATTTTACATAAGTTGTGTAAGCAAGTAACTCAGAATGTTGGTGCTATATTTGATTCACATTAGAAAAGAGCACAATCTTTTCCCGTTTCCAAAAGCGTTTATTTTATTGTTGTTATTTTGAAAGATGTTTGAATTATTAGTCACAGAAAATACTAGCAAACTGTTGAATAGAACATTATTTATCGTCTCAGTACATATACTTTGAATAGTGAATTAATTTGACGGTAAAATATAATCAACAATTAATTCCATATAAGAGACAAAGTTGTAACATGAAAGTCTTGAATAGTCTTACTTATTATAGTCATTTTGACTGCTTCAAAGTTTCATGTTTACAATTTTGTTCAAACTTTATATAATTCATCTTCGTTACATTCACAGGAGATATATCTAATCTTAGGGCAAAACAATTTTTTCATGAAAAAAGCTACGAATTTGTTCTTAATCAGTACGTATCAGTAAACATTTTGGTCTACGTAAAAGTATATTTGTGGTGATGGTATCAAAATAAAATAACAGAAAATCATGTGCAAATTAACAATAAAATTATTTTTTTTTCAAGTGAATTAAGAAATGCTCTTGTAAATGAGTTAAGCAGTCGATCCGATTATAGTATACACTTCAAAATATGAAGAAAAGATTCTCTCTTTTTAAATACTGTATACTTAATCATTATAATGTTTCTCAATGGATGTATTGATGTTAATTTGCTATTTACTCAACTGTAATAAAAATAGAATCTTGCAATTGAAATTTAAAAACTACTCAGTATATATGATGCATCGATAATGGGTTTAGGTAGACCATGAGAGTCTTCCAAGTTATGATAGAAGTTGATTTCAAATGTACTTTTCAGTGGCTTAATCAGTTATTTATTTCCTATCACTTCGCCTGTAAGTCATCAAGTAGCTTAAATAACTTAAAATCAAGAACATCAACAAGCTGTGTTATGTTTTGAAATAACTCATATGCATTTCATCATAAAGTTAGGTTAGCAAATAAATCCGAAAATAAATTTGTCATCGACAAATGAATTTTTATAGTGCAATTTATAAATGCCCAAACATTATGATTGTTTAAATTCTCTTCTACATAACAGTTGTAAGTTAAAAATTAACTAATTAAGTATTACATTTTATCCCTCAATTATCTGTAACATGTTCACCGCCTAAGTAATATATGCTCAAATACTAAACGGGAATATTTACAAACAGTTCTCAAAGTAAGGATCGACTAATAGATTTAAGGTTAAGTACCAGTTCAACTGCTGTCGTGGCAATAGTTAAAGTGTACATTATATCAACAACGTTTAACAGTGGATTTCTGAACATATGTCATGATTATTTGAGAGGCTTATTATATAGGTTAAGAGATTCGAATGTGCGTATATTTTCACTTATACTAACTGATCTTTTGGAAACAATTTCCATTCACCGTCGTGGTTCATAAACAACGATATGCAACATAGAACGGTATTTAAACCTTCATGGTTCTGTTTTGTAAAAGTGTTACACAGGTTTTATCTCAAATTTTTTGTGTTACAAGTGAGCACAGATGAGAAACTCTATATTCAGATTAAACATTTGTTCCATGTTCCTTGATTTACAACAATGCCTCAATTGCTCTCAATCTTTGACAAAATGTATCTACCAATATTTAGTTGTCTAAATTTTGTTTTTTCAATATTTTATTTTGTGTTAATATAATTATTAATTCAGTATTCTAAAAATCCAAGATTTGTTGTTAACTTGATAAAAAAGATTGTACTTATTTTGTTAAAAAATCATCTCGTACAGTGATTTCAAACCTGTTTATCAACAGTAAAGTAAAATGAAATGAAATTTAAAAGTCATGATTTAGTACAATTGCATTATTAAATCCATAAAACTTCAAAAATGATTGTCTACAGTAAATTTCTTTTTACCTATAGACGATAGCTGCAAATCCATTTTCTAAACAGTTAAGGTTGTCAATATCTATTAGATGATATAAAAGCAACATTTTTATTATGACCGAATTTAATTTTGTTCAGTAGAAGAAAGAAATATAAAATAAAGAATAATAATTAGGTTAGTATTCAACTTACTGTACTCAATCTCCAATCCAAGATATTTAATTTTATTAGCTTCGTGAAACGCTTTCTTTTTAAGACGACAAATTCTGAAAAGAAATACATACACTTAAAAATCCAATTTACAGAACGCTTTGTGAACCTTTTGTAAATTGTGATTTTAACAATAAGTGGTATCAAATAAATAATCTTCAATCACAAAAATTTATATTTTTCATGACTTATATGAATATATTTTACTACAGATAGCTCAAGACATTTTATACTATGCAGTTTTGCCAGTCCCTAACAGTTCTTGAACAGTTTACTTTTATTATTAGAATAAACCATCTCGGAAAAGTTTTTAAGTTGGAGTTTAATTTATTCAAAATTTAATTCAGAAAAATATTCATTCATGAATTCAATTTTTTTATAAAGGAAAAGTACAAATTCATGCGTTACTTTTTAGCCTAATACTCTTATCACATCTATAATTGAATTGTCATTCATAGCTTTGATTCTTTTAGGACATTTAAATACATTTCCCATAAGAGAAAGCTTATTCGAACTTGGTGTTTTCTATGTCTTATTATTTGTTTGTCGTAACCCTAAGAAATCTGTACTTATGAATAGACGTAATTAAATAGTTAAAGTATCAAACGATATGTTAAATTAGTGTTGTGTACTAAAAGTTGATTTTTCAGTAGTGTATTAAAAATTTATGTTTCAACTGAGATAAGAGATTACATTAAATAATGAAATTTTTGGTTAAATATGAGTTTTTTATCACGTTTGAGGATATACTACTTACTGATTACTGAGTACTGACCAATGTCATGCATGTCTAATCCTTTTTGCAGATCAAGTTCTATTGATCATGCTGTAATGTCCTGTAGGATTGAGATATTCACAACTTTATGAATAAAAATACGAGGCAAACATAACAGTGGTCACTAATCATTAACCAATCACTTGCAAATGTATCAGTGCTGCAAGAGGTTAGTCGTGGCCCAAATAGATTTATTGTGATATCTCTGACGGTGAAACTGAACGATACGAAGTCAAATTTATCAGGAAGCATCAGTTCCATCAAGTCTTTACTAATATCATGCTGAACAGTTTAAAATAGCACGAAACCTGGGTCTAGAGTTCTGAGTCGTCCATTTACAACGCACAATAACTCAATACGTTTAAGGGTAACTTGGGAGGAGTAAGAGGTTGAAATCTCTTGCGATCCGTTTAGTAAGAATATTAATCTTTCATAAAGAAAAATGATAACCACCCATTTATTTTAATAAAATATTTATGCACATACAGGTAGTATGTGATGTAAATGAGTATTTCATCGATTCGTCTACAGTAGAAATGGTTTATTAAGAAAAATTAGATATAACTATTGGGAAATTTTAAATTACCATCTCATGGTTTGATTATATCTAATCCCACTGATATATGATAAAGATTATTGTTTTTACTTCTTAGGTTATTTAATTAAATTATACAAAAGTTTGTCATTTTTATTCATAATAATTTGTTGAATGCCAATACATTGAAACGTTATTAGTAAGTTATATTTTGTCATGATGATAATTTTCAATCATAGAGGTGATGATAAGAAGTCCAAATGAATACTTTTGATCGAGCCATCTATCTCACAGAATACAGGACTACCAGAATTTAACTAACTTATCAACATTCCACGATGTTGATAGCTTTAATTTAATGAAATGATAAAAGTATAAGTACATCGCTTTTGAAAAATGTTGATGTGAAGAAATTTATGTACATGTATATTTTATACTGTAGAATTTATGTATTTCGTTGATATGAGCTTGATTACACTTTTTGTGAAAAAAGACAACAGTTAGTAGCCTTCAACTTATCAAAACCTTTATAAACAACTTTGGTATTATCTATTTTTGCCAATGAAAATATGATAAATTTTGTTTGTTAATGATGTCGTTAACGCCTCAACTTAATACTTACTTAATGCTTACTTAACCCACTTCATGTTTACTGCACACCCTGATAATTCTATGAAAAATCAAAAGTCATCAGAAAAATTGCCGTATTGTTAGATTCTTCCCCTTTATTCTTTGAGTTCGTCAAAAAAGTGTGGCCTATAGTAGTGAGAATATTCAGATATGATGTGCTTTGTTGTAAATGAAGGCAGAAATGCTCCTTGTAAATAGTGGATAACTGAGTGATTGTAATGTAACATAAACTTCACATCCGAAAGCCAGCAGTAGAAATCCTAACATGAAATCTAGTGATTTCCAGTTAACTCTGACAATTATTACTTGACTGAAACTGAACCATCAGTGATTTTCATGGTTTTCAACCAATTACTGCCTCTGTCGTTTACAACCCCCTCATAATTTTTGTGAAAGCAAAGCTAATAATTACTAAACATTATTGACATTTTGAACCATAGTGAAGTATTTTATGAAGCACACTGCAAAGTAGTAAGCGCGACTACATCAACTAATAACATTGTAATACTGATTATTCTATTGCAACTGACCATTTCATAATCCACTGTCAACCAAAAAGTTATCGTTATAGTAAAGAAATGTATCATGTGGCCGAATAAATATACAAACTGTGACCAGCAAATAACTGTTTGAAATCTAATGAATAAATTGATATTAAAAGACAACACAAATCAGCAAAAAAGTAAATCTTTCTTATTAAATGTTTTGTTAATTAAAATAAATAAATTTTATAATGAAACAGTATTGTTACATATTCATTTTTCAGTCAACCAATAAATTCACTGTTATACTCCATATGACTACGTGTTATAAGACAATAGGAACTATTATATAAATTGAAGAAAACACAATTAGCGTGAATGTGATCGAATTTCGACAAATTACGTAATAGAATCTCCGAAGAGATTAGGATTAATTATTTTCCTGATGAATATCTCAATACTCGTTTCTTTCACACAAAGTTCTAATTAGATTACTCTAAGATTAGTGCCATTATATTGTTCTTTCATCATTGAGTTTATTTGTAAACGAACAGTTCGTCAATGGGCACACAAATATATATATATATATATATATATATATATATATATACGTACTAAGGGAACTCTAACAAAATGATACTAAATTACATGAATGGTGAAAGGAGTAAAACAATGAATATATTCCAGTCAAAAGATTATTATCGAATTCGTGAGTCATGATTTCAATGAATAAATGTAGATAAAGATAAAGACAAATAAGATGGTCATTGAATTATCAATAGAAAAATGAATACAAAATTCTTTGTAATAATAATCAAATAAGACAATAATTTACAACGACCAAATTATCAACGTGATAGTTTCCGTGATATCATTTATGGCTTAAAAAGATAATCGCTATAAAATTTCCCATGATATTGTTTTTTATAAAATCTTTGCGAATAAACTATTGAAGACCTTATTGATGGAAACAATGCATACTTAATACTATTAGTCAGATTGATCAGACAAATTCAGTATAAAGTAATTAACTGATAGAAATTTATTTTGTAGAATTTTATATTGAAATACTTAGTGGGAGTCGCTTTTCAACAAGTAACTTCCACACTTGTATAAGACTCAAAGCTTTCAATTATAACATGAGAATAACATTAAAATCCAGATGACAAATTCATACTAAAATCTATGAAGAATATAACAAATAATTATGTATAAAGAAAGGGAACCTAACAATTAAGAAATCAAGAATTGATAGAAAAGGAGATATTTTGAGTTTGAATAAGGAAACTAGCTTAAATTATTATCTGGTGCCCATCCACCAAAGTTTGGAAAAATAGATAAATGATGCTGAAATACCTTCACACTTGTAATCTGGAAATAATTAATTTGTAGTTCACAGGAATATATTACACTTTGGTTGCGTATATTAGTTTCTGTGAATTACTACTATATAAAACATAGATTATGTTACATGTTGTATATACTGACAAAGGATATATATATCAGTGTCAAGGTTGGACTTGATAGTTTTGAATAAACTGAGCATCTGGTAGAAAGTTAATAATAAATATATTTTCTGTTATATCGCAATGAGTAGAAAATTTTATTTCCGACTTTTCGTGACCTAATGTAAGCCACTTCGTCAGGTAAATAAATAACCGAAATAAATTAACACAATCATTATATGCAAATATGGTTAGTGGCAAGCAATGTAATCCAGGACGAGCGTTTCCTTCTATTAAGAACTCATCAGATGGACTTACCTGTATCCCAGAGTTGATGTTCACACCGAAACTCGAACCCAGTACCGTCCACTTCAATCATCATCGCGTTATCCACCTAGCTACTGAGTCCTGATGGTCACTTACTTGTTCATAAGATTGAAATTATAATTCATTTTGTATTGTTTATTTGAATCTTCCCATTTATGTTTGATGCGAATGGTACTGGGTTTGAGTCCTGAAGTGAACATGAACTCTGGGATGCAGGTACATCCAGCTGACGAGTTTAAATAGGACGAAATGGAACGCGTACTGGATATCACTGCTGTCTCCTCAGAAAAAGTGTGCATGTTCCCGTTCAAATTAAATATTGACAATGTCAATATCTGAAAGAACTCTGATTTTCAAATATTTTAGGTTGTAAGCAGCTGATGAGAACCTGACGAAACAAAATGAATTCACATTATTCTGCACTAATCTTTGTTCTAGCTTAACTTGATGTATTGATAAATCACTTAAGACCGTTTTTTCTATATATTAAATCCATTAAAAGGTGATTTTCACAATATATGTAATATTCTGCGTATTAAATACATATGTATCAAACCATACAATATTATATCGAAAGCATTCACCTGAACAACATATCTTTATTTTAATATTATATTAAAAACTGTCAATTTGAAATTTAGTTATAATCTTATGATTCATAGTATGCATGTAATCATTAAATTTTCATTTACAGAGATGACACTAGAAATTAACATATTTCATATCCACATGTCATTGATCTGATTTATTACGTAAAATGATGAATACTCTCTGATAATTTCAGGCAGACATAAGTAGCATATAACACATATAGGAAGTGGAAAACCTGGCATCAGAAGGCCAAGAAGATCGAGTTGAATAAAATGAAAGGGAAAATATAAAGAAGTTATGAACTTGAAGAATCCAACAGAATGTGAAGGACAGCTGATGGATATTTGCAAACAAAGTATACAGTGTATGGTTCTTACATTTTATCGAGATACTCTGGTTGTCCCCACTTGTGTTCTTGTCACAACCGTTCTACAAGCACCTTAAAGAATTGAAGATTTTTCGGACACATCTAAACAATAACGATAATTATTTTACAGTCTTTGATTAAAAACAGATTTTGAATATGATTTCTGTTTCAACGATTTTAACCACAATGCTTTAGTTTCTATACCATAAAATTATCTACTCTAATCAGAATTCTTAAAGATTGTAAGGATAGTTCACTGATCTGTTGAATTAACTATTTCTTTACGTAATTGTGAACATAGGAAACGTCCAATGAGAGACATTTAAGAATAGATAATCAACACTTAGCCACTGGTAACGTAATTTCCAACGATTCTTTAAGTTATTAAAGGATACAATTTTTATTACATGAAGCACTTCAATGATTACGTAATCCCTATATTAAAAATACCTTTACTAAGTAAGAACAGACATCAAATATATATGAGTTACTTCTGAGTCTATCCCCAAAACTATTCATTTGATTACCTTTACTTTTTTTTACGTTTTTGACCAACCATATCTACAACAAAACAAGAATGTTACTAGTATAGGAGTTTCATAAAGGTTCCGGGATTTTTTTTCTTACACCACAGGCTCTTGCATACGGCTCTAACGGTAGTTAGATTATCTAAATCATTCAAACAATTTTGACCGAAAACGCTGATTTCATCTCTACAACATTCTCACTAATCAAGACATCAACGTAGAATAAAATACCAGAATTCCTAAATACTAATGGAAAGTACGGTCTGCAATGGCGTTCGGATCTATCGAAAATGCAATGACGTTGAAAAACTGTAAAAGTAAACACTTTGTGATGTACATTAATGTCAATAAATTACTGATTGTAGTTATGAATTACTAAGAAACAAGTCAACTGCCAAGATATGAGCACAAATTACATGATTTAGGTTTACTATCACAGTCAAAAGGTTAGTTATTCATCTTCTCTGACATATTCACTATCTTATTATCATATCTTTAATTTTCCATTTTACAATAAATATTGTTGTCATTTATTTCGGCGTGATTTATTAATTTTGAATCTTTTAGGCAGCGAAATTAATACATTTTGACAGGAAGTTCTATATTTCTGAGCCATTTTACCTATGAGCAAGTTGGTTGAAGTAAATGCATTAAAAATCTTCTCACCAGATAGTAGATTTGTGAAGATTGCTAATTCTTATGGTGCATATCAAGGACTGATTTTAGTCAAACAACTGTTGAAAATCAGGAAGGAATGGATATATAATTCATCGTAGTATGGAAATTTCAACAGTGTCCATCTATGATCCTATCGGGAATCGAACTAAAAACCTCCACGTCTTTCAGTGTGAACTTAACCTTTAGACCACTGAGCAGACATCAAATGATTTACATATCTAACAAAGGTCAGTTCATGTTAACTCCAAACCTTAACATTCCTCACAAACCTTTTATAGAATGATAAGAATCGTGTACTCATATCGACTAGTTTCATGAGGTAATTACGGGAGTTATAGTGAATACCCATGGCTAGTGGATTTCAACCACGTCAAGTATGAATTAATTCGTCACCGTGGACACTGGATGATGGCTGCGTAATGTCTCAAATTGATTGAGGTTAAATGTACAAACCATTGGATGCTAAAGCTTAAATGCTCACTGAAAGACTTGACGGGTTTTAGTTTGATCCCCAATGGGAACATGAATTGACATTACTGAAAATGTCCAACCAAATGATAAAATATATATCTTGTGCTTCCTCATGATCGTAAAACCAAGGTCAATCCGTGATGTGAATAATCGAAAAACATATTTTCTTTGAATTATTTATGTTTTCTTTTGATCTGTGTTTTCAATGAGTATAATAACAGGAAATGTTTTCATGTCGACCTGCAGTAAATAGACAACTTATTGATCATGATGTCTATAGTTAAATGATAAGAAGTGGACGCCTGTTACTTCACTCAAAGCAATGAATATGTTTGATTTAAAATATTTAACTCCTGAAATCTAGTATAATAAGACTTACTTGCTAGCCAACTTGTTTTTTTCGCGTTTTGCCTGTTCAACTATTTTGGAATTGAAGATACGCCCAGAAAGATCCTGAATCACCTTAAAATCCAAATTCATATCTGGCTGATCAAGCACCGAACTTGCACCTGTAGCGATCAACTCACCTTGAGCTGTGATATTTCTATTCAAATGAGCAAGTTCTTCCCCCATAGAACGCAAACGCATTAAATTTGGAGTCACATCATTACCGTCACCTCGACGCAATTTCGAGCAATGAACTAAATCATATCTTCTTTGAACAGGATCTTCAAAAACGACAAATGGATATCCTGGCAAGGATAATGGGGATATAGGATAATGTATTACTGGATTAATAACACGAGAAGAAGCACTAGAAGACACGAAATCATCTTGATAGACACTTGAAGTGCAATTTTCTGTCAAACTTGATTGATCATCTTCAGCTGAATTATTCAAAATCATTGTGTTTGTCAAGCTTATTAATGGAGAGGCCTTTGGACCTTTGCACTGGGAGTTATATAGCCAAAAGTATGCACCACTCGACAAGTTGAAAGCGTTAGGAATGGGTACCTCTGAACCGGTATCTTCAAAATGAGTTTTCAAAGAGAAATTATATCAGTAAGCATGTGACTGATTTAAAATATAACGTAATTTCATGTATAATATGATTATCGCTTTTAATCTCCTGAAATCTTTCCTAAGGCCTGATAAAACATCCAGAAAAGCTACAAGCTTCATGTGATAAGGCACCACGAAAGTCACCTAACGGGTCAATTAGTTAATTAACAAGAACTAAATAGATGTGTTTATCAAAACGATGATAAAAAGCCTCATTACTTAGTGTTCATGAAATTAATCAGTTATTGTAATGTCAATGAAGGATAATTTACCAAGTACACAAATGCACACAAGGCTTCGAGCTAGATTTTTTTTACATAATATTTGTTTCTAGTGCCTGACGACACAAATCGAAGTAGGTAGAGTGATATCTCTAAACATAAATAAGTAACTCGTTTACTAATTCCAGGTCAATATACTAGACCTTTGAGCTACACACAATTTTATTTAAACTGGGGATACTTCGAAAATTAAAATAAAAATGCAATGTTTAAACCTTCAACTAATTGATTTAGTCCAAGGTACTACCTATAAAAGTATTTATGAATATTTTATAGGTAATATCAAGGCTAGATAACATAGAACTCTGTGATAACCCTTACTATCATTGAAAATTAACAACGTAAACTAATGAACACTGGTATAGCCTCTTCATTAAAAGGTAAAAGCAACGAAAACAATGTTCAGTTGCAAATAAAATAATATTTTAACATTCAGTTTTGATCAACTGATTTTTATCTTTAGTTTATTTCATTTTACTCATTCTCTTAACATGTATTTACAAATTTGATGGTTTCATTTAGTAATCTTAAGTCAGTAAATTTAGAAAAATGTTCAGACAAAAATAATTCAGTTTTTGTATGCATCATCAGGAGTATTATATTCCATAAAATTAATTTTTGTAGTTGATTTGTCTGAACAGTAGAGTTTCAAGGAATTTTTTTAAAGAAAGTTTTCATTTACTAGTTATATAACAAACTTTGATGAAAAAATATGTTTGCTAATTTAGCTCAATTTAGAAAAAAAGATGGAATTTTAACTATATTGAATTATTAATCCTTCATAAACTTATATATATATATATATATATATATATATATTAACGCAAGCGCTTGTTATTATCTGCTTTGTCATTTTTGTTTCAATAGAACACAAAGTAACAACAAACAACGAAACGAAATTCTGTTAAACTGATTGACTTAGTATTAAATAGCATAGAAATTCCGCGGGCATAATCAAAGTAAATCTGATTTTGACTATCTTAAATTGTATTAACAGGTAAAAAAAGAAAAATATCAGAATAAGAAGAGGTGTAAATTATTTATAATTATAACACATTTCTTTTATAATTACACGCTTGACATATTTAAGATTATCATAGAGAGGGTAAATTTTTCAAATATATCTTGTGGTTTTTGTTGCATAGAACAAATAAATTAAAGTTGATCAATAGGAATTGTTGAAAATGGAAAAATTTGCTGAAAAACTAACAAAATTAGTAATAACTTAACAAAGATTATATTGAAATATTTCATCATTTAGAATTTTAATTTAAGTTTAATATCTCTCAATATGTTGAGTTTTAGATAACTATATATGATAAATAAGAGTTTGTCAGTTAGTCGTCAATAGATGCAAGAAATCAGACTATATTATCAAGCTTTTCATGTTATGAAAGATCACTCTATCAATAAAATGATGAGTTTACTGAAATGTGTATTTTACTAGTGAAAATTCTAACTATTATTATCTATTTCTTATTACCAAGTTGTTCATTAACCTTTGATATTATACGTAGTATTGTATAAATACGTTGATGAAAATAGTATTTCGTAATTTACAAAGTCTTCTATTTACCTTAAATGAAATAAGTTTAAAGAAAGAAAATATTAATATACACTCAACGTTTCATAGTTTTCATATTCTTAATGGCTATAGTAAGTCAATGCATTTTAATCATTCTGTATATGATTTAAAAGTCACTTGCGCAAAAGAAACTTAAAGAAATGTTTAGTAATGTACCTCAAATTTACGCATATTTTCTCTTTCTCAGTAAAAAAAAGGATTTATTCATTACTGTCTCTAATTATACCGTTTTTTACATAATACTAAAAAAAGGAATATTTATGTTGTATTTGAATAGTCTCCCTTTTCATAGACACTGTCTGAAAAGTGTAAGTGTCGAAATATCATCTAAACCAGTTAGTCAGCATAATTCATGTTTTAATGCAAATATATACTATTAAATAATTTACATTGAACATGTGAGTTCTTTCAACTTTTTGTTTAATATAAATTGTTACAATGCTCAATAAATCCAAAAAAAGGATTTTCTAAAATGTAATAGAAGTATCACTATCTATTTATATGTAAATAGATGTCAATGAAAATAGTATATCATGATATATGTATGTATAATAAATAGATGTGCACATACTTTTCATATACAAAATATTAACAGAATTAATAAACTAAATGATTTTAATTTCATTGTGGGTAGTCTCATTGACAGATGACAAAATTACTAATTTACATCAATGGATAAAAGCAACAAGAAAAATAAACAATAAAATAGATACATTGAATTAATAGTACATTCATTACTGATTTGTTACGTATTTGAAAAAAAAGAAAAAAAAAGTAAAATTAATGAATTACAGTGATAATTTAAATTAAAGGGTTTTTTCTTAAATGAAAACAAAAAAAATTGAAGTTTTTTCCTTCTTTCTTAGAGAGAAAAAAAAAATACTCAACCTGTTAAAAATTATTCATCAAGTCATTTTATATTCATTTTTTAGAACAACTAATTGTAAAGCTGATCAATTACTTCATTACATTTATGTTTCATTTAATTAAGCATAAATGAAATAAATTTTATGTAATCTGAGTTTTTTTAGTTGTATTTATGTAGAAAATATTTACAAACTTTTATGAAATCATTAACTGATCACTATGATTATCTCTAGTTAATTAATTTTCCTTAGACTTGATTGATTCTATGTTCAACATAGTGCAGTAAAATTTTGGCTATTAATGGTGTGTACATTTTTATTCTGTGTTCTTAATAATAATATGAATGAAAGTATGGGAAAATAACATAAGAATATTTATATGATCAAAAAAACTAATAATTCTTCCTTTTCATCATGATTTTGAGTTCATATTTAAATCAGTTTTCTTATTCTATGACGAGAATCAGAGTTTTCTTTGAACTTACGACAGATCTAAATGATCCAAAAAACGAGTTAATTGATTTTGTGGTTGTATTAACAGAAACACTGCTTACAACTTTTAAATATTTTCTATTTTCAACTTAAAACAATAGTATCATTTCATTAAATTTCCTTACACATTTATTATCTCAATAAAAATAAAAAAATAGTTAATTTAGTTGAAATAATCTACTCATCAATGTTATATTACAATTTCCCATTAATTTTAAATCTGTTCGCTTGCAGGCACCGTGATGATATTGTAAGATAGTAAGTAACCTTCCTTATTGTACACTAGATTTTCTGACATATTAATCAAGTTAATATTATTATTGGACAGTGACTAACAGTTGATGTCACGACTCACGTTCTTACCTGTTTGGCAGTGGATTTACTTTAAGACTAGTATTTAAGTTTACATTGAGAAACAAGCCTCAGTATCAACTAGGGTATGTTACAAGCATTTCCAAATAATGCTAAAATTCATTGTTCACATTTTGTAGTTAAAGATAATGTTTGCTTTTCGTGCTTACTGTTAAAAATGTATGTAATATCTCTGGCTTTGCTCGTAATATCGTTGTATCATAGCATTATGGCAATACAACTTATCTTCCTAAAATCGTTATTTCCAATAAATTGTTTTGTATGGTGATCAAGTTCATTGTAGTATGCAAAACAAACTTTGACATGTAAAGTAACTGTGAAACTGTTCAATGAAGAAATTCACAAACACGCGCAATGAAATTAATTCTGAAGGCAAGAATACCAAACAACTACCTTTTAAAATAAGGTATCAAGTCAACTTAATAGGGTGTCGAAATCCAGTAATTTTACTATCAATTACAATTTTTCACATAAAAAAAATACATCACAAAAGTAGAACAATTTCAGGATAAACAACTTATTATAAGTGTCAAATAAAAAACACAATAATTGTTTATATTTTTATGCCATAAAAAAGACCATGAATCGATGCAGCTCTACTTCAGTTTGAGTAACATTCAAAATTCTGAATAAACTTTCAATTTTCCTTTCGTATACAATTCAGTTAATTTAAATATCTTCCCTACTTTAAAGGAGTCTCATATGAGAGTAAATATTCACTTTTTGACACTTTCACTGGGAACATACCTTTCTTTTTTAGCAATGACTGCCATATTTCGGTTTATATTAACTTTCTTTACATAATTTTATTCGTTCAAACATATATATATATATATATATATATTTTAAAATATAATCGAACCTATGTTTCATGAATATAATTCGGTAGACGTTTGAATAAGTAGTCTATAACAGAAGTTATAAGTTTATTGTTTAAGCTAATTAAACGGTTACTTGGGATTGAGAAATAGAAGTTGGAGAGGAGGTAGAAAATAAATGAACAAGTAAAAATAAACAAAAATATAAACATATGACCATGAATAGAATGATAGTAGCTTCAAAGTAATATATATATATATATATATATATATATATATACATTAAAATATGAGTGTTGATAAATATGTTCATACATGCATGCATAAAGACAAATAAATAGATAAATAGGGAGATACACAGATATAACTATTATCCCTCTCTCCTCACTTTCTATTTCTATAGTATGAAGAAAATTTTGTCTGATTAACTAATTTCTCATGAGACATTTTTATAAAAATGAGAAAACGTTTTATTGTGATTTTTTTCTATAAGGAGATTCGATGTGCTTATATTGTAGTCAGAATAATAATTTTTTTCTTGTTAGAATATAT